GAATACAACATCATCAACTGTTGTAATTGTAGAATACATCATCATAAACTGTTGTAATTGTAGAATACATCATCATCAACTGTTGTAATTGTAGAATACATCATCATCAACTGTTGTAATTGTGGAATACATCATCATCAACTGTTGTAATTGTAGAATACATCATCATCAACTGTTGTAATTGTGGAATACATCATCATCAACTGTTGTAATTGTGGAATACAACATCAGACCTTTGTGAAGAGAATGTCTGAATCTGAAAGAATCTAACACCTGTCTATTACGCAATCAACTAATAGCTGAGATATTTTATCGTAGTTTAGATACAAAAAATAATATTTTCGGGAACTTTGACGATAAAAGTTAGACGTTCTTATTGTTCCTTTAAATATATATTGTAAAATTTCAGAAATTTAGGTGGCTGTAAACAGCAACTAAATGAACACAAGTCATTACTCATTGGTTTAAATGTTAACAAAATCCCAGCGAAATACAACATCGCTGGTCAAATTAGTCGTTTTCATTGTTTACATTCCTCGTAGTGCTACGCCGACGGTAAGTAATGAACCACATATTTTAATTACAGATAAATTGTCGTATTTCAAAACCAACTTTCCCATGCATCAGTAGTCGTTCATACCTACTCCTACTCATACGTTATCCTACATTACGTGCCAACAATCAACTAACGAACTCTGTACGTTATCGTCTTGTTCATACAATGAGCGAAAAACAGCAACTATAAGTACACTATACAAGAAACATGCACGTACTATACCCTAGAAATAGTTGGGGACTACAACTACCTAATGTAACCCTAAACTACTTGGTATCTAGGAACGGTGGTAACAGAAAATCGTATTGTATTTAATCTTTTTATATATATATATACAGAAAACTTCTAATGCAAGTTTCTTTTTATGTTAGATGTGACATAAAATGCAATAAAAATAAAACACAACACACATTAATTAACTGTTAACTAATTAACAATAGGGTATTTTACCATGTAAAAGAAAATATTTTCACCAAGCCATCAATTCAAAAATTTAATATGAGAGCCATCTACTGGTACTTTTTGTAAATAAATAAATAATAAAACTATTTTGGCATTTATATTTTAACAAAAAAATGGAACAAAACAAAAAAGTAAGAGAAAGTTAACCGTTGTAAAACACTTATTTTCACATAAATTCCACTTTGGTTTAGGGTTAGTAATGTAAAATAAAAATGAGTTTGTGCCTAGCAAGGAAACGTATATTTTGGTATTGGGTATTTTCAACCCGAACGATAGCTTACGCAACATACACGGACTAAACAGCCAGGTGAGAAACCTTAAGGTTTAGATACAACCATCCTTAAATTTTGAACTGTATACCAGATGAAAGGTAGCTACATTCTACTCCTAACCGAATATCGACATTGACTGTAACTTTTATAACGCGCTCACAGCTGAGTTACGAACAGAGAACAGGTTGGAACTTTAAACCTTCAATACGCAGCTCAGCACGCTAACCACGAGGTTACAGCCTAGCCAGGAACAATTATAATGATCGCTTACTTGTTTTAGTCGAATTTTAGGTGAAAATTTAACTTCCCGAAGAAAATTTTCCGAACTGTGTAATTTTAAAGTTACAGGTTGTTTTTTTTTAAAATAATTTTTTCCTGGTAAGAAACAGCCGTCCTATGTTTATAAAAAGATAAGAATTTTGAATGTACATCGTTCTTATTCTTCTAAATATAGTAACTTTCTAGAATAAATTTATAAAAAAAAGTTCCCTTTTAAGGCACACACTCACTAAATACGTCTAATAATATTCTGTGCTTTAACAGCCAGACAAAATTTAAACAATTTTCTCTGTAGAGACTGGATAACATCTTCATCAGCTTACCTTCATCATGAGGAGTATAGTGTTGAGCATAATGAGCACCATTATGATATATTCGAACACCGTAGACACTACGAGAGACCAGATTTTGTATTTAGCGCCACTTTTATTTTTAGGCATATACCTTTGTAATGGTTTGGCTTGAAGTGCAAAATCTATGCAGGATTTCTGAAAAGAAGGAATACAATAATAGTTTTTAATATGTATTACATAATACTAAACACTATTATCCAACTGGATATATACATCTGTGTTTTATGTGTTACTTGCTAAGTAAAGGTTTGTTCTAGTCAATGTTATTACATGCAACAAAAACATTCATAGCTAGTCGTAGTTTATCAAAACATTAAACCATTACGTGACTTGGTGTAGCTTATCAAAACATTAAACCAATACGTAGCTAGTCGTAGCTTATCAAAACATTAAACCAAAACGTGACTTGGAGTAGCTTATCAAAACATTAAACCATTACGTGACTTGGTGTAGCTTATCAAAACATTAAACCATTACGTGACTTGGTGTAGCTTATCAAAATATTAAACCAATACGTGACTTGGAGTAGCTTATCAAAACATTAAACCATTACGTGACTTGGTGTAGCTTATCAAAACATTAAACCAATACGTGACTTGGTGTAGCTTATCAAAACATTAAACCAATACGTGACTTGGTGTAGCTTATCAAAACATTAAACCAATACGTGACTTGGTGTAGCTTATCAAAACATTAAACCAATACGTAGCTAGTCGTAGCTTATCAAAACATTAAACCAATACGTGACTTGGTGTAGCTTATCAAAACATTAAACCAATACGTAGCTTATCAAAACATTAAACCAATACGTAGCTTATCAAAACATTAAACCAATACGTAGCTAGTCGTAGCTTATCAAAACATTAAACCAATACGTGACTTGGTGTAGCTTATCAAAACATTAAACCAATACGTGACTTGGTGTAGCTTATCAAAACATTAAACCAATACGTAGCTTATCAAAACATTAAACCATTACGTGACTTGGTGTAGCTTATCAAAACATTAAACCAATACGTAGCTTATCAAAACATTAAACCAATACGTAGCTAGTCGTAGCTTATCAAAACATTAAACCAATAGGTGACTTGGTGTAACTTGGTTATCGTTATGTTGTCCCAGTTATTATTGGTTCTATTTATGGTGTAACTTGGTTATCGTTATGTTGTCCCAGTTGTTATTAGTTCTATTTATGGTGTAACTTGGTTATCGTTATGTTGTCCCAGTTATTATTAGTTCTATTTATGGTGTAACTTGGTTATCGTTATGTTGTCCCACTTCTTGTTAGTTCTATTTATGGTGTAACTTGGTTATCGTTCCTGTAAAGTTTTCAAAAATCTCATCTCTTCCTTCAACTTTGCATGAGAGAGCAATAACGACTCAAGTATTAAGGCTAGTTAACTATCATTATCAAGGCTAGTTAACTATCATTATCAAGGCTAGCTAACTATCATTACCAAGGCTAGTTAACTATCATTATCAAGGCTAGTTAACTATCATTACCAAGGCTAGTTAACTATCATTACCAAGGCTAGTCAACTATCATTATCAAAGCTAGTTAAATATCATCATCAAGGCTAGTTAACTATCATTACCAAGGCTAGTTAACTATCATTATCAAGGCTAGTTAACTATCATTATCAAGGGTAGTTAACTATCATTACCAAGGCTAGTTAACTATCATTATCAAGGGTAGTTAACTATCATTACCAAGGCTAGTCAACTATCATTATCAAAGCTAGTTAAATATCATTATCAAGGCTAGCTAACTATCATTACCAAGGCTAGTTAACTATCATTACCAAGGCTAGTTAACTATTATTATCAAGGCTAGTTAACTATCATTATCAAGGCTAGTTAACTATCATTACCAAGACTAGTTAACTATCATTATCAAGGGTAGTTAACTATCATTACCAAGGCTAGTTAACTATCATCATCAAGGCTAGTCAACTATCATCATCAAGGCTAGTTAACTATCATTATCAAGGCTAGTTAACTATCATTATCAAGGGTAGTTAACTATCATTACCAAGGCTAGTTAACTATCATTATCAAGGGTAGTTAACTATCATTACCAAGGCTAGTTAACTATCATCATCAAGGCTAGTCAACTATCATCATCAAGGCTAGTCAACTATCATTATCAAGGCTAGTCAACTATCATTATCAAGGCTAGTTAACTATCATTACCAAGGCTAGTTAACTATCATTATCAAGACTAGTTAACTATCATTACCAAGGCTGGTTAACTATCATTATCAAGGCTAGTCAACTATCATTACCAAGGATAGTCAACTATTATTACCAAGGCCATGTAACTATCATTATCAAGGCTAGTTGTGTGAACCATCATAACAGAAGTTACTTGTGTGAACTATCGTAACAGAGGCTAGTTAACTATCATTATCAAGGCTAGTTGTGTGAACCATCATAACAGAAGTTACTTGTGTGAACTATCGTAACAGAGGCTAGCTATGTGAACTACCGTAACAGTGTCTAGTTGTGTGAACTACCACAAGAGGTTGGTTGTGCGAATTCTCATAACAAACTGATGGTCCAAGAGCATTTTTTTTCTGATTCTAACTTGTGATGGAATTCACTGTCAATATTTAAATATTTACTTATTCTTGTTTTCCTGACACGTGTGCTATCAGGAAAAACTTTTCAGCTACTATACCTGATTTTTATCTATCTCTCCTTCTTCAAGCTCTTTCTCTCCTTGTTCCTGAAAGGTGATGATGATCAAGGCCACAAATATGTTGACGAAGAAGAACGGAAAAACGATAAAGAAGACAACGTAGAAGATCGACATTTCGATTCGAAATAGTGGTAACGGTCCATAGTTAGGATAGGTGGCGTCCATCGAATTCTTGAGAACCCTGCGAAACGGAATATGCAGCTCATACGTCATATCAATCCTTAAAGTATGTTTGTCTGGCTGTGAAACTCACGTGGCAAAGTAGAGGCGGTGGCGTAAGTATTCCCCCCATCCCCCGCAATTTTTTTTGGGGGGACGGGCGAAAGGGCTGAAACATTTAAGAATTACCGACAAGGGGAATACATGTAAGCCATTCAATTACTTTTTATGCAGGGGGGGGGGGGTCCAGTTTTTGTAGTTACGCCACTCTCTAGAGGTACATGTAATTATATTGGTAAGGTTAAATGTAACAATAAATAAGAAATAGTTGTAACAGGAAGCAAAAGGAATTAATTTCACAACGAAAAGAAAAAAGAGCGGTAAAAGTTCATAATGTATTTTGATTTTTTTTCTTTTTATGTCTAACCCTGATATAAAAGTGGTAACTAGTTTCTAGATTACTTCAAGCTTACTAACTAAGCATTTGTTAACCAGTTTTGGAAACTTATGGACAAAGTTAACACGTTTCATTCTCCAGCTACATGAGCTATACAGATATGTTGTGGAATCAGTTTGTGTACACGTGACTTGTATCGCTTATCCAGATGGAGATCCTCCTTAAATAAGTTACATACTTTTGCCTAAGACACGTGGACGGCCCTTGCCACTGACCTGTGCTGTCATGAGGTCTCACCTGTTACAAGAAAGCGCAATTTGTTGCTTACCGCAGCTGGGATAGGACTTATTGCAAGTCTCTTTCTAAACGGTCCTGGTACCTCTGGTTGATCCATATTCCTAAGTTTTCCAAGTTCAATACGTACAAAGGATATCCCCATCTTGTAAATTCTGTATCCATTATTTGAACACATCTTTATGATCTGCGTTTATGAGTATTTTTCGTCAGAAAGAACTGTTACATTCCCTTCTTAAAATCGGATGCAATGAATGAAATAAAAAAGACCAAAAAACACGAGCGCTTTCGAAACGCTCACTAAACTTTTTGAGAAAGAAGAATAATCAACTATACGAAAGTACTTGAGTTTTGGGTCATTGTTTGAAATTCAATGTCAAATTGTAGTTGAGATGCATGTCGTTCCACCTTGATTTTACGTTGTTTTCACGTGATTTGGTGATCGTTTTAACATTATGCATATAACCCTAAGTAATAAGTTGTAATTATGAATATTCTTGACTCAAATCATAGCCAGAATGACAAGGTATCCTTAAATGTTGTCTGTTGTAATAAAACGCCCCTGAAGTGAACTCAACACCTTAGACTTATCCAGGGCGGAAATAAAGTCCAAATCCTTTAGTTACAGTTGTCGTTCCTTATAGTACAGAAACGTTTAATCATTTCTCAGTAATTGACTATCATATTTGTATAGGAAAAGTTTTTACTACCTCGAAACCTACTTCTGTTTCCATAATTTGTAGGCCTAGTAACCCCTAAGCCTAAAATTTTGCTTTTTTTATTGTATGGTCTCCCCATATCTCAAGAGCATTTATAGTTATTAGCCGCGGTTGATAGAATGTCTCTGAATTTGTTCTCAAGTACAAACTTTTTGCTCATAGTTCTGCCATATCTTGACAGATTTGAGATTTAATTACAGTTTTGGACTCAGAAAGTCAAATCCTTTCGATCGATGTATTTGGCCACGCACAAGGTCTTATAGATTAATTTACACTAATTGTGCCTAAAAGAATTTCAAGTGCCGCGGCTATTGAAGATTCCCTCTTATTGTTTGTTCGAACCCCTAGTATTGGAAATAATTAGGCTAAAATGAACTGCAACAGAGTACAGTCACGTGTAGATAGTTTGCACTATGATTGGCTGTAATCCAAGTAATTAGAAAGTGTTAACCGGTATAAAGCCTACAAACGTGCATGCAGTTATACTATGCCCAGTAGTAGTGTGTCCGCAGTAGAAGTGTAGTTTTTCAAAATTTATTTAGTAAAAATGTATTTAGAAAAAAAATGTCGTGTTTTGTTTCTCTGAAAAAAAGTAAAAGAACAATGATCATATTTTAACGAAACTTACAAGCTTATTTAATCTGAAATAACTTTTCCTAGGCGAAGGTTGATACAGTAAAATATATATATATAAGTAACTTACGACGGCCAACCTTCTCCTGTTGATACAGTAAACAGCGTTAACATGGCTGACATTACGTCATCGTAATGGAAAGGCTGCTTTTGCCATTCTCGTTTGTTCACGTCCGGCGGACCACCATCTCCCGGAAACAGGAAGTAGTATCCGCTACAAAGAAAAACAAAATGGTGGTGTTTAAAAGTTCCAAAGCAATATAAGAAACAACGTTTCCAGACTCCCTTTTTTTATAGCACTTCAAAAACCCGTTGTTGTTCTAGCAACAACTAAATCTTCGAATTCTATAATTATTTCTTCGTTCTTACTATCTCTCGGGGAATGAGAGATAACAACCTTTTTTTTTGTTGCAGAAAAACGAAACTAACTACGAATAAAATGGTGTTGAAAAGCAAGGAATAGAGAGAATCAATTAATGTCTTACCTTATCGTTTACTGACAACTTTGAGTTTTTGTTGGACTTCTCAGCAGCCATATAAAAATAGTAACATTAGAGCATTTTTCTTACATAAAACAAATACGATTGGTTTATGTTTTCACTTCTTAGAAATTATTTTGGAATATTTTCAAAAAGGCTTCAGAAAAAAAACAACCAAATTTCATACTATTGTTATTTAAGATACTTTCTTTGAGAGGAATATCTACTAGTTGGTTAAATTAGAAGCGTATATGAAGTTACATCTCTTTGAGCTAACGGTATTCAAGCAAGCTTCCTTAACACTTTCGTTTCTGACATGCTGAAGGTCAGTGCTATATCATGTACTATCATACAATAACAACGAAATGCACGTGTTGTACAATGTATTATTATTATTATAACTAACAAAAAGAAAGGTTTGTTACTGGTTGGACCGGGAGTATTATTATTATTATTACCAGCTTAGACCTGTACCTAGTAATTTGACCGCTCTCCAAATCACAAGAGGAATCTTTCCTGGCCATCTGTCCCTAAACTACTTTTCATTCCTACAGACGGAGCATATATAAGCACTCTCAGTGCTGAACCGACTACTTCAATATGTGTTTTCTATCCTGGTCATTCGTTAGGAATAAAGATTTTCTTAATATTCTACAGGGTGATGGGCACGACCATGATTTTTAGTTTGTCCTGTTCTTGCATGTGATTGAAATGTGGATAGCTAGGTGGTATCAGAATATTGGCTATATAACAGGATCCATTTCTAGCGTTATTGCAAGGTTATTGTCACCCCAATCAATTGGTGTAACAACAGAATCCCTTCCACACGTTCTTGCAAGATTACTGTCATCCCAACCAATTATTGTAACAACAGGATCCATTTCTAGCGTTACTGCAAAGTTACTGTTATCCCAACCAATTGTTGTAACAAAAGAGTCCCTTCCACACGTTCTTAGAAGATTACTGTCATCCCAACCAATTGCTGTAACAACAGAGTCCCTTTCACACGTTCTTACAAGATTACCGTCATCCCAACCAATTATTATAACAACAGGATCCATTTCTAGCGTTATTGCAAAGTTATTGTTATCTCAACCAATTATTGTAACAACAGAATCCCTTCCACACGTTCTTACAAGATCATTGTCATCCCAACCAATTGTTGTAACAACAGGATCCTTTCCACACATTATTGCAAGGTTATTGTCATCCCAACCAATTGTTGTAACAACAGAATCCCTTCCACACGTTCTTACAATATTATTGTCATCCCAACCAATTGTTGTAACAACAGAATCCCTTCCACACGTTCTTACAATATTATTGTCATCCCAACCAATTGTTGTAATAACCGAATCCCTTCCACACGTTCTTACAATATTATTGTCATCCCAACCAATTGTTGTCCCAACAGGATCCCTTCCACACGTTCTTACAATATTATTGTCATCCCAACCAATTGTTGTAACAGAAGAAAAAAAAAGACAATTAATGAAACACAACAGTGGTGACCATCTTTTTATTATCCCGTACATAACTTTTTGTTTTACTGATGTAATACTAAGTCACGAATCACTTGGGGTGGATCTTAAAATAATTTATCTGAAATCTTTGCTAACTGTACGACATTCCAGGGAGAACTCATCCCTCTTACTTGCATTCATCCTCTGTGAACTTGGACTCGTCCGTGCAGTGGAAAAACTTGCCGTTAAAGAGCTGAACAGCTATCACGGCAAAGATGAATTGGAAGAGGACGTAAACGATGAGAATGTTGAACACGTTTTTTAATGACGTCACCACACAGTCGAACACAGCCTGAAATATGACAATCGTATTCGTCATCTTATGAAAATTTACGTTTTTATGTTTAAAGTAATACTGAGTAATAATGCCACGAAAATACATTGTAAACATATTGCATGCCTATACAATATTCACATACACGCATAAAAAATAATGTTGAGTTTGTGGCATAAACATTTATCATAGTTTGACCTTGATATGACCTTCACGTATAATAGGGTATAATCGTAGATAA